TGTTTGCCTCAGTTTCCTCATCTGTAAAATGAGCTGGAGAAGGAAATGGCAACTATCTAGTATCTTTGCAAAAAAAACAAAAAACAAAAAATAAAAACAAATAGGTCCCAAAGAGTCGAACACAACTGATATGACTGAACAACAACTTCCTGATTAGTATGTCACTCATTCATTGACTCAGTCACTAGGGCAACACAGATGGAGTAGAAGGTCCCATACCTATTTCTTCTCATCAATTCTTATCCCCCAAAAGCTTGGGGGAAAAGTGTAAGAAGGAATAATGACTAGTTGTGTTCTGTATTTTTTTTAATGAATCCCTTATACCTAAAATAACCTCCTCTCACACCATCTGTGCCTTTTGAGATCTTTCTTATCCTTTAAAGGCTCAGCTTAAATGCCACCTCCTTCATGAAGTTATCCATGATTTCCCATGGTACCCAACCACTTAGCCTGAAGTCCTCTCCCTGCATTTTTCATATCATTTTGTCTCTGGCGCCATCAATCCAGAGCAAAAAACCACCCTATAGCCCAATGAGTCCAACCTCTCATTTTACAGAGAAGGGAACTGAGGCCAAGTGGAGCTAAGTGGTTGACCAAGAATCACACATATAGGGTCTTCAGAGGTCACACAAGTAGGATTCAAAACCTGATCTCTGACTCTAATCTTTCCAGTGATTTAGAGATAGACAAGACATTAACGGTTATCTTGGTCAATCCTCTAATTTTATGGAGGAAGAGAATGAGATCCAGAGAGGGGCAGGGACTTGCTCAAGGTCACATAGCCAATAAGTAGCAGAGCCTGTTAATTATCTTTAATGATTAAACTTAATGGGGATTCTAGAAGATTGAATTTAATTCCAAAATACCACTGTATTGCCTGGTTTAAAATGTGACTGTTTTGCTTGTCCTAGCATGTTGAGGTCTTGCTGTGTGGCTCACAAATGGCCTTTGTCCTCTTTCTTGCTTCTTGCTGCTCAGGAAGAAATCAGCCCCTTGGAGAATGCCATTGAGACCATGGAGCTCACCAATGAGAAAATAAGCAATAGCGTCCAACAGCACGCCTGGGACCGCTCCCTCTCCCTACACCCACTGTCCATGCTACTCAACGGCATCGTAGACCCTGCTGTCATGGGCGGATATTCCAACTATGAAAAGGTAGGCATGGGACCTCATAGAACTGAGATGGATGGATGAATGCATGGGTAGTGGATGAATGAATGAATGGATGGCTTCCTAGATGTGAGCTGAGTATTCAAGAAAGTCAGACATTCTAAGAGGTAGATGTGAGAAGGGAGATTATTCCAAGCCTGGGGTACAGCCTATGCAAAAGCTTGGTGTTGGGAAATGGAGCACTGTGTGCAGGATAGCTAGACCAAGAGGGCTGGACCACAGAGTGTGTACGGAGGAGTAATGTATAAGACACTGGATTACTACTTGATGAGGACATTGGAAAGGCTCTTGTTTTTTTCCAGAATGGGTTAAACTAAATGATCCAAGGTCCCTTCCAATGACTAAAATTCTGGAATGTTGTGACATTTAGAGGCAGAT